TTTGCCGGCGCGCATCGATAAGTTCCAGAGACTGCGAAGAGACCCAATGTCCATGTTGGCTATTAGACATACCACATGAGGATTTGCCTGCTGCTAGTAAGGTCTGGTGAACATGTGACCAGTGACCATCAATTGTCCCCAGTGAGCGCTTACTCAACTCGCATGTCAGCGTACTTCGAGATGCATTCAGAATAGCTGGCTTTGTCAGTTGCCTGGTGTCAATGCGCTTACAGCATCGTCGTGGGCGTGCGCCAAAACGTATCCGCATGTCAGCACATACAAGTGCATGATTGGTGTCCACACATGTGCTCCAAATCGAGCGACAATTCTGGATGCAGGCTCTCCAGCGGCAACTAATAGCAATGTGATCGATCTGCGTCCAAGGCTGATGGGCGCCAAGTCATGCTCCGGCGAGTGCTTTGTCGGAAGTTAGTGCTCGCAAGAAATAAGCGAGCATCTTCACACAAACGAAGTAACCACTCACCGTTATCATTACGGGAGCCTACACCGTGCTGACCGCCCAGATGCATTTCATCAGTGGACAACTTTCCAACTAGTGCGTTCAGATCCCCCGCCAGCACCACTGTGTCCGTGCTACTTCTGTGGTGAAATAGCTGGGTCAGTTGGCGGTAGAAATCGTCCTTTACCGAATCATGGCAACAGTTTGTGTGGGCGCGTAGGCAGCGATGATGAATAGACACCTATTAGTCCCGCGCGAATTGGAAGATTTGAACGAACCAGTCAATCGGACTGCACACATCCAGCTACTGATTGGAATCCAATCAACCAGAGCAGCACTCGAGCACTGTGCTCACTCTGCGATCCCCTTCAGGTGACGCAAGCAGTATTTTCTAATTGCGCCTATCCGGTGACGATGCAGCTTCGAGCACCGGCCAAGCTAGTGTTGGCATTGCCCTGAGTCCCCGGGCTGAAGCTGCTCTGGTTGATTGGATTCCAATCAGTAGCCGGATGTGTGCGGTCCGATTGGCTGGCTCGTTTAAAGCTTTGAAGTCGCGCGGGACTAATAGATGTCTATTCATCATCGCTGCCTATGCGCCCACAAACTGTAGCGATGATTCGGTAAAGAACGACTTCTACCGCCAACTGACATAGCTCCTTCGACACAGAAGAAGCACGGACACTGTTGTGTTGGCGGGGGATATGAACGCACAAGTTGGAAAGTTGTCCACAGATGAGCTGCATCTGTGCGGCCAACATGGTTTAGGCTCCCGTAATGATAACGGTGAGCGGTTACTTCATTTGTGTGAAGATGCTCGATTATTTCTTGCGAGCACTAATTTCCGACACAGCACCCGCCGAAGGGTGACTTGGCGCCCACCAACCTCGAACCAGCCTTGCACGCAGATCGATCAGATTGCGATAAGTTACCGCTGGAGAGGCTGCATCCAGAATTGTCGCTCGATTTGGAGCACATGTGTGGACACCAATCATGCACTTGTATGTGTTGACATGCGGATACGTTTTGGCGCACGCCCACGACGATGCTGTAAGCGCATTGACACCAGGCAACTGACAAAGCCAGCTATTCTGAATGCATCTCGAAGTACGCTGACATGCGAGTTGAGTAAGCGCTCACTGGGGACAATTGATGGTCACTGGTCACATGTTCACCAGACCTTACTAGCAGCAGGCAAATCCTCATGTGGTATGTCTAATAGCCAACATGGACATTGGGTCTCTTCGCAGTCTCTGGAACTTATCGATGCGCGCCGGCAAATCCCGGCTGGAAGCGAGCACAATGAAACTCGCAAAGAGCTCCGGGCAAAACTCCGTGCTAGCCTGAAGTGAGACCTTGAATCTTGGTGGTCTCATCGTGCGTCAGAGATGGAAGTGGCCGCTGCATTTGGCAACCGTCTGATACGGGAAACGGGCAGCAGGGGACCTGGTGTTAGTGGAACTATACGTGACGAGAGTGGACAGCCTATCCACAATTTGTCAAAACGTTTGGAGCGTTGGGCTGAGGAATTTGAAAAGCAATTTAATCGGCAAGAATTGTTCGATTCGCCGGTCACTGATCGCCCCGCTCCGTGGGTTGTCCCTTTGGATCCACCCTCTCGCTCAGAAGTCGAACGTGAGATCGGACTGTTGAAGTTGAACAAAGCCGCAGGACCAGAAGATCTTCCTCCAGCGCTCTTCAAATTCGGAGGCTCTACTCTTGTTGATGTTTTGCATGAATTACTAGTGAAACTGTGGGAGCAGGGGACTGTCCCAACCGACTGGAGCCGCTCCGTTATTGTTCCCATCTTCAAAGGCGGCTCGCGCTCGGGATGCGGCAAACATAGAGAAATCAGTCTGATCTCCATTGCCTCCAAATTACTCGCGTCGATAATTCTCCACAGACTGACTGGCGCTCGTGAAAGGCAGATTCGTGAAGAGCAAGCCGGGTTTCGTCGGGGTGGTGACTGCATCGACCACCTCTTCACCTTGTGTCAGTTGTTGGAGCACCGTCACACATATTGGCGGCCCACCGTAGTCGTGTTCTTCGACATCAAGGGTTCCTTCGATTCCGTTAATCGATGTGCGCTTTGGAATTGTCTACTCAGGAAAGGTGTGCCCGAGAAATATGTAAATATCATCCAAGTATTATATGCGCGTAGCACGGGCAGAGTAAGGGCTTACGGCAAGCTGTCGCCACTCTTCAATATCACCAGCGGTGCGAGACAAGGATGCCCATTGTCACCTTTCCTCTTCAACTTCGCTATTGACGAAGTCATGGAGATTGCATTTGCAGGACATGACTTAGGTGTGGAGCTACTCCCAGGAGAACGACTTCTTGACTTGGCGTGTGCAGACGACATTATCCTCATCTGCGACAGCTCGCAGAGGTGTCAAGCCGCGCTGGACAGATTAGCACTGGCTGTCAGTCGCTTCGGGCTTTGCTTTGCACCATCGAAGTGCAAAGCGCTCCTCCAAGATTGGCAGGGATTGCCTCCTGCGCTGACCCTTGGTTGGGATCAGCTAGAAGTCGTTCGTAAATTCAACTATCTGGGAAGTTGTATCAGCGCCCTTGGGATCGAAGACGAGATCACGAACCGTATAGCGAAAGCTCGAAGTGCTTTTGCTAACCTTCTCCACCTATGGCGGCGGCGCGACATTACTCTCGCCCTGAAGGGTAGAGTGTACAATGCAGCGGTACGTTCGACCTTACTGTACGGTTGCGAAACCTGGCCCCTAAGATCGGCGGACATGAAGAGGCTACTTACGTTCGACCATCGGTGCCTTCGCAGTTTGGCTCACATCTGATGGGAACACCGCGTGAGTAACGAGCGTGTTCGACGCCTTGTTTACGGCCTAGGAAAAGGGAATGAACCGTTCAGCACCGTCATTTCACTCACCAGGCTCCGATGGCTGGGCCACGTGTTGCGCATGCCAGCCCACCGACTCCCTCGACGTGCGTTGTTTGCTCACCGGGGATGTGGGTGGAAGAGGAGGAGAGGTGGCCAATCGATGACTTGGTCCAGAGGAATGAAGGCCCTCACTTCGGAGCTGGCCTCAGTTGGAGCATCACGGCTCCCTGGTTGGGGTCCAAAAGACGGTGAACACGTTTGGCTGGATACACTTGCTGACATGGCAAGGAGCCGACCTCAGTGGCGTTTCTGCTGTGAGTTTCTTTGTCCCTCCCCATCCCTTTCGCATCCTCCTCCATCTACAATCTTATTTCGTAGGGTAAAACGTAATTAAATTTTGTTTTTGCCTAGTAGCCGGCTAGTAGCTTACCGAAACGATGCGTATCCGTTGCTGGTAGCTCAGCTGGCATTCAACTGTCGTATTTATTTTTCCTTAATGTATTGTATGTATTTCCTTTATGTATTGCGGTACAATAGCGGAGGTGTTTTACCATCTCTAGCTGACATGTATAATGATGGATGATGATGATGAACCAGAGCAGCTTCAGCCCGGGGACTCAGGGCAATGCCAACACCAGCTTGGCCGGTGCTCGAAGCCGCATCATCACCGGATAGGCGCAATGAGAAAATACTGCTTGCGTCACCTGAAGGGGATCGCAGAGAGCTCGAGTCTTGCAGGCGAGTCTCATAAACAGCAGATATCGATCGAGAGGGTCTCCAATGTTCGGGCAAGTGCTGCCTGTTAACCGATTTGTATCAGTGTGCGTACATTGAGGCATGCCAATCTGAAGAAGGATCGATGGCTCCAAATGGAAGCCCATGAACTGGATTGGACCGCTTGATTGGACATGGGCTTGTCGACAAGACAGGAGTGGCGCTCCGCGTTAGCATGCGAGTTGAAATTAGAAGATAAACGCCTAGCAAAGCATGTTGGGGGAGGGCGAAGAACCGGGGTTGAAACCTGGGGGGGGATAAAAGTGAAGTTGGAAGGGGGCGGTAAGTGTGAAAAAGCGTAAGAGGGGGAATAAGAAGACGGGAAGGCTTGAGCAGTAGCATCCAAACCCCTATCCACCCTGCTCGATGCAGCAGATAGAGCACCGTTGAACATACTCTGCGGTGGCCAGATCATCAAGAAACTGCTTGAAGAGAAATTCATTGTATTGCGTGGGCAGGATGCTGTCAGCTTGCCCAGGCCTAGACAGGAGAACGATTAGGGTTCTCAACCAAAGCCTTTGGTTCAAAAACCTGACCGCAAGGCAGTGGGTTTGGCGTTGGGCTAGAAGGAGTCCGTTTTAAGGAATAAGGTGCCACCCTCATTCCAACCCCAATCTGGAAGACCAGGAGGCTGAGTTTGTCTGGCCTCTAACCACTGACCGATCTGGTATGAGTGACTCTGAAAGTGCAAAAGCACCACCCAGCATAGATCAATGGATCGCTGAGGCACACAAACCATCGCACCACGGTAAGGTCCAGCCTCATTGCGAAAAATATTTTAATTGTGACAAAGCGAAGCAATTTAGTTTGGCGGTTTCAAAGTCATGGCGTAAACCGTAGACATTCGAAGCTCAAAAAACAATGGAGAAATTAACGGGTTAACGTAAGTGGAAGCCATCAAGAGAAAAAGAGACTCACGACTGGCGCGGCTGCCAGCACGAGGTTGATGCACTCCATACTGCTGTGCCATGTTGTACAACATGTCTATTAGCTCCGGAGTTATCTGAATATGGGGGTTAGAGAGAGGCAGGGGTGCAATGGTAAGGCAACAAGATTAGACAAAGAAAGCAACAAGGAGTGATAAACCGAGTGGAGGCGATTTAGGGATATACACGCACATCGGCCCATCCACACATAACACATGTGACCAAAGCATTCGGTCCTTAGTCATCTACACATGGAATTCGGTTCAAATGACATACGATACAACTAATTTTGTAATGTCCATGTGCCTGAAGGCACATGAAAAACGCAATGTGGTATACAAAATACCTTGCCGAGATTGCGAAAGGGATTATGTTGGCCAGACGGGAAGAAAATTGGTAACAAGGATACAAGAACACAAGAGAGCCTGTGTAAAGCATTATGCATCGTCGCTAGTTTCAATGCATGTAGATGAAGAAGGACATAGCTTCGATTGGTGCAAAGCAGAAGTCCTGGCACGGGGTGAAACAAAGAAAGAAAAAGAATTCTTGGAAGCTTGGTTCTCAACGAAACATTCAATCAACATGCGTATGGACATCGATTCAATATACGAGCCACTACGACAGAAAGACATAAAGAACCTTTTGTCACGCGGTTTGAGGCATAACAACTCGAGCGACGACTTTAGCCTTGGAGAAAGTGGGTAGAGATCACGGGACCTAAATCGACACTGCCACGTTCAAAGTCACCTGCAGGTCGATCATGCGTGGAGGATTCATTTAGTAAGCTTGCAAGCTACATATCACTGCACTGAGGATGCCACCTCGCATGGTGGTGAAACGTTTGCGAGAAAACCGCCAGGCTCGGAGAACAAATGAACAATTAATTTTGTAATATGTCACTTGCACTAATTTCACAGATATATCGATTCCAAATTTTATCAATGGTGATTAATGTCGCTGTGCAGAAACTTAGTAAACGTATTCGAAGAATATACGAAAGAACTGGCTGAACAGAAGTGTTAATACATTTGAACCTTTTATTACACTAAAAAGAATACGTAAGTAGAAACACTTGTAAGCGCCACACTTCAGCTTGACAGACTGATGGCATTTATAACTTGTGCGACACCGTTAACTGCTGACTCGATGTACAACTGGGGATCGCCCAAATTACAAGTCGCGCTTATATCTGTTCGTGTCTCACTACGTGCTTACTTGATAGATGAATCTTATTACATTTCTTTTCGTGTGACACCGTGATTTATTGCGGGTTGTAATATGAGGTCAATGTATCCCATCTCAAGTGTCTCTATATGTCCGATTGTACTGCTGCCGCATTCAGGTAAACGCAAAGACATGCAAACAAGTCATCAAGGTTGCTTCCGGAACAGCGGCAACACGATGTGACATTTAAATCAAAATGCTTGGGCACAGGTAGCATTGTAGGCCCTGATGAATTGGTCGAGATATGCTAGTGGTCGGAATGAATGACCGGGGGGAAATAAATAGTAGCACACGACGGATTGTCTGGTGGTTCTACATCCCTGTTGATTCTCGCCCAGCTTGGATAAGAGACGACTGGACCGGCTCTGGTTTACCTTCCGACGCGGATAGCCTGCAGTTAATATAGGAGACGATATTCACAGCACACACCAACAATAAGTTATCATTGTTACACTGAGAAAGCTATAAACCCGGTTCGCTCACCGTGGACTTTAACTTAGATGAGCTTATGAATAGCAGTGGAATTAATCGCACCATTTCCCTGCTTACATGAAAAGTTGCTTACTCCATCTCCGTCATCATTGTGTCATCCTTATTCTTTCGCTAATGTGAGTTGCACTTCGGTACAGTTCCATTCTACAATAGTTAACTACTGACTTGGTGTAATGTAGTACATTTATTGCACCTGCCTAGAACGGATGAGTCACATCTAACCTACCTTTATAGGGCTTATCTAACTCGGTGGTATTTCGCGGTTATCTAGCTTGTTGCCCACTATACTGTTGTACTCATCATGATCTATGATACCCTCGCTGCCTTCTCAAGTGGAGTGTAGTACGGTGACGCACTGAGGCGGTGAGCTAGGGCACATTTCCTCTTCGTATTATCATTCGGCCGCGATTCACATCACTATGTAAGCTTCATGGTATTGCTCACCAGACTATGCTACCTACATTCTGCTCCTCGAAATCGATTTGTAGATTAAGTGACCCTAGCTTCACCAGCTGCCCAATGCTAACTAGCACGACGCTAGAGGGTCGATGCATCGCCGGCTAAAGGTTCAGTCCATCCATGAACTCATTCGTATTTGACGTGCGCGCAGAGTTTCCAAACCAACTGTGTTGTTGTTACGGATCAATTCTGGGGTGGCAAATTATTGCGCGTTTCCAGTTCGGTGGATACGTGTGAATCAAAAGGTTACCGGCGCTTGGCCGATTACAGTACACATAAATTGTAAATTTTGACATCTGGAGCACAACGCACAACGATTGTCGCTCGTGTGACCAAGTTGGACTATGCATCCGAGGGGAAATTACCATGGAAAATCCGTGGCAAGTGAACAATCCCGACAATTATCCAGTAACGATTACCATGATGTTGACAGTTCACGTTCCGTTGCACAGGTCGGTGATGTTCCGTTGTTCACCAGCCAGACTGAAGTTACCGAAACTTATGAGAACACAAGTACCAAGCGGATTGAAGGCGGAAACGCAGAGACGCTTACCAAAAATTGAATTAGACACTGTCAATCTTATGGATAGTCTAAGAAAAAGGTAATGCCAACGGTAATGGTACGTCAGTGTCGTAGTATATCCCATCGGAAATGAATCGGTGCATAGCGACAATCGTTTTAGAAGCACGAATGGTTGCACCCGAAACGTACGATGCAGATGGTTACCACATAGTTAATGGTCACAGCAGAGTAAACAGCGGTATGTACAAACTGTTGAGCACTTGGATGACAACTATGATTCACCTTGAACATTTGCAAAACAGTGCGAACACTGTTTGGAAAGTCGCATGTCTGACAGTTGGCAGCTGGACTTAGTTGATGTAGCCTTGTGGTAGTTGTCGCGCCAACGAGGCCGTAAGCGGCGAATATGTTGTATTGCCACCTGTCAATACTTTAGGTTCCGTAAAATTCGTACCTCGAGCAGCAGGTGATCGAACCGATCGGCGATCGCATTCGCATGCTGTGCGATCTTCTCCATCAATTACGCAAACCAGACTGGGCATATAGGAGGAAACACCTAAGTACACATTCTTTTACTGTGCCACTTGTTTGTTTATCATTCCACTTCGTAATCGTACTGACGACAGTTGCATCACTATTGCTATATCGGTTTCGTTCAAGTATTGATGCCCAAGATTTAAGACTGTTATTTATGTTCACGTCTAAATGTCAAAATACACCAGCAGTTCGTATTGGGTACTTATTCGCAAAGCCAGGGGGTTTGTCGACAAACACCAAATGGCAAACATCCGTATTACCAACAGCGCTGCACCAGATGCAGACCATGGTTCGTAAGCTCTAATGCGATTCGCTCACAAATGTCGTCTTGGACTAACAGTGGAGGTATCACTGAGCCGCATAGCAGCAATATTAGCAGCGATGATGGAGGAGTTGTGTGGTTCCTCTACACTATTCCAATGTGGACCGAGATTCGCATGGAACTGAACGCGTCAGTCATTTGGGTCACTGTGAGAGCGTGTGTGTGTGTGTGTGTGCGCGCGCGCGCGAAAAGGTGTGATAGTACCAAATTCTAGCCTTTGAACTTCGCGACCGATTTCGTGGGGGTTTAGAGAGTGCAACTGGAACTCGAGAAGTAATGGCCCCCGAATGACGCTCTTATGCCTACACAACAAAGCCACGCAGACTACACTTGTCACAACGTGACACAGGGCTGACGGACATTAGGGCTTTATGGACTGCGAACACAGCGCAAGAGCATACGCCTCAAACTATGCGCACTTGGTCTTGCGGGGTTTATGAGCACGCGGGAGCGTATCGCTGAAAATAATGTGAGTCGGCTAACTCCACCGATCATCCTGTACTGAAGTGTGCCATCTACATCCGATGACAATATAGCCGTCTTGAACCCAAGGGGTAGTGCATGTTAATAAACCGCACGTAACTCAGATCAAAATGGGGTGGTATTGCAATGGAGACTTTGGTGGTTGCACAGTTGGAGAAGGTAGTCAATATGACAAGTATCGATCCCGAAGCCCCTTCGTCTGATCTTACTAGACGACGGAATAGCGCAACCAATTCAACTGCAGCGAGCACGATATTCGCGCTTTTGGCGCGTGGAATAGGAGAGGAGAATTGTTCCTAGAAATCATTTTTCATATCCTCTGGGCTCCAGTTGGTGAGATCATAGGCCAAAATAATGAAGATGCACCTTGTCTTCGGCCGCCGATTATTAAAATCGTTGAAGCTTCAAAGTGGGACTTCATATATGCGGATATTCGCATAGATGAGCCCTACATGAGCATCGTTCGGACGTCTGCGAAGGCGGTCACGATATCTCAAAGGTCAATAAAGAACTGCAGTGTACAAGCACCGTTAGTAAAACCGTACAAACGAATTAAAACGATATCGCTCTGCATGCCTCTTTGGGAAAAGCAGGATAGGACAAATCTGATGGAGTGCAAAGGCAGAACGAATTTCGCTTGTTGAAAAAACTGGTATAGTTTGCAAACGTTGAAAAACCTGACGTGAAAGGAAATCCCAAAGATATCAGCAGTATGACAGTACGCAGTAGTGCTGCCGCACTACCATCAACAGCTGTGCGTGAGAAATGCACATTGCGAGGGATGCCCGTCCCCTATGCAATCTCGAGTCCGCGCCTTGGAATTACAAGAAAGGACTTGCCGAGGACTTGAAATAAGTGATGCGAATCAGCCACCAACAAACAAGCTCCCCCCAAACCCATAAAAACAGGCGGTACCCGTGAAATACGCCAAATGAACTGGGCTTGTCATTCCCATAGTGCAGTATTCTAGGTTCAGATCTCAAGAAGAGAGGACCAATGACCTCACCACGATTTATAATGAAAAGGGTGCTATCCGA